ATCTAACTTCTCACATACACACTACAACCAATTTCAATCAAATATATATATATACATACATATAATATACAGAAAAAATTCTATAGAGGGAGGAATAATACAAGGATCAATATCAATTCTAGAAGTATGGAAGGAAAAAATTGAAGCTCTGTTTGGTTGCACAGAAATATCAGGAAAAGAAAAAAAAATTCTCCTCATTTCTTATGTTCCACTTTCCGAGGAACCAAACGAAGGGAATGCAACAGAGAGAGAGAGAGAGAGAGAGAGAGTACCGTCTGCTGAACGCCGTTGATGTAAATAACTTCGGAACAAGTGGACTCGCCGGGACAGAGGGCTCTGGTGGTGACATCGACGAGCACAGAAACGGTCATCTCCTCTGCGATCCAGTGAATGAAGAGAGGCAACAACAGGTGAATCAGATGTCTCAGTTCTCTCACACTGCCCTTCCACGCCATTTTCGTCTTCGAAACACCCTCTCTCTCTCTCTCTCTCTCCCTATTTGTTTTGTTTTATACGTACAAAATTAGGTATAATAGGTATAGAGAGAGAGAGAGAGAGAGAGAGAGAGAGAGAGAGAGAGTGTGTGTGTTGAGTAATGAATGAATTGAAAAGCCATTCATTTGATAGGTTTGTTGGAAAGTAAAGAAATAGTAGTTAGTTACTAATCGTGTGTTGATCGGACGTGTGGCTTGTGTAGGTAGCGTGCGAACAGGTTGCCTTCCCTGTGGCTGGCTGGCTGGCTGGCCCTCTCAAAACGGCTTGGCTGGCTCCACTTCATCATTTTCGTTGTTTGAAATGTGCCAGAATGGCAAATATAATATTATACAATCTAAGATCTATCAATAATTTATTCAAAACAAAAAGAGGTAAGCCGGCTCAATAAAGACTCCCAAGCGAAGTCTTAGCTGCTAATATCCTTTTAATGGTTGAAATGAAAGTGACACGTTGGCAGCATGTGGTGTCACTTTGTGCCACGTAAGCATGTACGCCACGAGTTCAGATCCTCTCCTTGCAAGTCATACTTGTGAGCGTCGTTACAACGGCTGAGATCAGTCGTTGCACATCCAACGGTTGAGATTAAAAAATATATATTTATATAGAAATTTCGATTCTTCCCGCCCGTCGCTATAATTATACATTCATATAAGAATCACTCTCACTTTCACTCAGCCTTGCACTCCTCTTACTCACTCGTCCCCCTCCACCGAATCCACGCTCACCGACAAACCAGTCCCCCAGACGGCGGCACCGGCGACCCAGATGGCAACCCACTTCCAGGAACGTGGGTTCTGAGACTATAGAGGAACCAGGTTAGTATTCGAAACTCTAAAATGAAGATGTTAAAGAATGAGTGATTGAGATTGAGAAAATATCTTTTAAATTTGAAAATTAGGGCTTTGATTTCAAATTCGAACAGAAAATCGTGCTTCGATTTGGGATTGGAACAGAAAATAGGGCTTTGATTTGGCTTTGATTCGAATAGGGATTCGAACAGAAAATAGGGCTTTGATTTGGGCTTTGATTTGGGAATGAGAAATTAGGGCTTTGATTTCAAATCTCTGAAACATTGACATGAATTAGGAAAATCAGTGTCGATTTGGGCTTTGATTTGGCTTTCAGTGTTAATTAGTTTGTTATGTGTTTGAAATGATAGTTGAAGTAATTATCTGAGTATGGCAATATGATAGTTGAAGTAATTATCTGAGTATGACACATTTTGGTTTACCTGAACCATCACTTAAAATCGTACATTGTAGCAAAAGAATGAGTATGCCACAGATTGCTAGTCAACTAGAGTACATTAAGAAGCAGATTGGTTTTAACATTGAAGATTGGAGGAACTAGAGTACATTAAGAAAATAAGCAGCATAGATAGTTTAGGTAAATACTCATTTATTCACGCAAATATAGATAGTTTGCAAATAATGAATCACAAAGATAGGAGCATAAATCAGGAAGTGTTGGGAGAGTAATTGAAAATGAAATAAGGATTCTAGTTGCCATTAGAAGAACTTCGAACAACAAGGATGACTCTTCTACCTTATTAAAGTGATCCTAATTCAACCATATAAATTTGATTAGATTAAGCAATCTGCTGCTTATTTTCTACCCTGCTATTAAGCTGTCTGATCTTAATTCAAAGATTCAACCCTGC